ATTCCAATGCTGACGGGAACAGGGGATGGGATTATTTTATGTATTTATTTAGGAAGCTTCTATGCCGCCCCATTCGCCGAAGCCTCGGGGCAGCTCACAACAATAAATAACAACATAATAGCAATATAAAACAATATAATATAATTGGAGACGTCCTGGCCAAAGATGTAAAATCAATAAATAATATTAGCAATTAAAATGACGTTTAAATAAAAAGGTCTTGGCCTGGCGCCGAAAAACAAATGACGACGGCGCCAGGCGGACCTCTCTGGGGAGCGCATTCCATAGATTGGGTACCACCACAGAGAAAGCCCTCCTCCGGGTACTTACCCTCCTAATGTCCTTCACGGGGGGCTCCCGGAGAAGGGCCTCTCCCGCTTATCTCAAGGGGCGGACGGGCACATATGGACGTAAGGGTTGACTCTTGGGTTCCCTCAAAATGCCTTCCTGGAGACCACCCACAGTTGGAGCAGGCATGCATCACAGGCCTCACAGGCATGTGTGTCGGGAGCAGCCGAGGGAAGACAGACTGGCCTTCGCCTGGTCCTTCGCTCCAGTCTCCTTGCCTGTCTCAGCCTCCTGCATCTGAGGTGAGCTAAGGATAAGGTGAGAGGAGGAGGTCTGGGAAGAAAAACCGAGTGCCTATTCGAACTGCGGAGGCCTGGGGAGTGTGTTCATGCCACACTCTACCCCACCTCACCTTCGTGAATTCCACTAGTGTCTCCCAGACAATGTGACTTTGGAGTCCCACAGCCCTTCATAACAGGAATTGCCAAGGGCAGGCACACCACTCCGAAAGGCTTTGGGCTGGGGCTGGCCAGGGGCAGCCACGAGCCACAAGCCAGGTGGGCTTGGCAAAGGCAAAGCAGGAGCCAGCGGTGGGGGGCACCTGAGTCACCTCATTCAGCACAGCAGGAGCTGATGGCAGTCTTGCATTGCTCTGGGGCTGCTGGTCAGCTGAGAGGTCTTGCAGTTTTTGAAAGCCATGGTTGCCTTTGCTGTCAGCTGCCTGCAAATGAGCACGGTGCTCTTAGTTTGTGTTTCTTTGCATGAGTGGGCAAAGCCGTTGGGATGGTGGATGAATTAATTTGTGGGTCAGTGGGCAGCACACATCAGAACTGGGCTTAATCGTTTTGTGCAAGGAGGTTGTCCTGGCTTAACTCCAGAACTTGGAACATGCAAAACAATTTTACAGAAGAAAGTACAGCTGAGCAAGTGCAAAGTGCTTTCCCCAGTTCTGGTTAAATACAACCACACACCCACCTTCCTGGAATCAGGAAATACGGCTTGCTTGGGATATGTAATATGAGCTGCAACTTCAAAACCTGTTTATCTAAGGATTAAACTCATGTCAGAATTATACCCATAGGACTCAATGTGAGACTGAAACCAACAACCGACAGATTATATCTTCTACCCTAAAGTAAGACATAATTGTGCAAAATTCACTGTGTTTTGCAAAAGTTCACCAAAAAGAGCTCAAAGCCAAATGCACCTCTAATCAAGTGGCTCAAATGTCTCCATTCTAAGGCCAAAGAAATGAAAATTCTCTGCATAGGAGAAACCTGTAAATATAGAAGTGTGCTTAATGTATGTAGTATGTTGCAAAATTACTCAATGTTGCTTTTCCATTCTGAATGAAATAATTCCAAATCATACCCCTGTTAAGTCCAGTCTGGCCAAGAGGACTAAGAACTCGCTTGAAGGCAATAAAGGCTCTTGCTGCAGCTTAAAGACTAACAACTTGGATTGTGGTCTGCAGCTTCACGGACTCCAGCCCAGTTGCAGCTGCAGAAGTTCTCATAGTTTTTGCCATGGAAATAATTTTAAACCATAATTGTCTGAGATGTTTTGTTTTGTTTTATATTTTATATGCAGGGGCCAAAACACCTCTGTCAGGAATCCACATGGCATGATGAGTATGGAATGCAAACAGCTGAGATCTGATTTGGTGCACTTCTAATAAACATTTCAACTGTTTCCCAAGGAGCTCACTGCCATGGCTTCCCCCAGACAATACCCAGAAGGACGTTCTTGGCCTGAGAGCTTTTATGGGGACAGGCATCTGTCGCTGGATGTCTCGCCTCCACTGGGTATGTGGCACGGCCGGCTGTTGCTGCAGCAGTAGCAGAAAAGCCCCCTTGGTCCAAACAGTCGCCACCTCCCAAGCGAGATGCCGTTGTCCCCTGCAAGCTGCAGGAGGCCCAGTCATCCTGAGTCCTCCTGACTTTTGAAGAGAGGCTGATCATTTCGGGGCAAAAAGAGAGCATGAGGTGCTTAAGCTGAAGGACAGGCATCACTGGGACAGCTCACAGAGAGGCACTGAGGGGTCCTGCAGGAGGGGCCCCGCTGCACCTGCAGCTGCTTGCCAGAAGCAGCCTGAGCGTGGGGCACTGGCAGGCTCTGCCCTGGCGAGCGGCAGCAGCTGTCGGCCTCTTTTTTGCTGTTCTGCCAGGACTGTTTGAAGAGCTGAGCCTTGCTGCTCCCCAGCACCACCCTGAGTGTGGAAGAGAGAGGAGAGCCGGCCTGCCCGCCATCCATTCTACTGGCCTTTCGTAAGGCACCCAGGGCTGCCCCTGCTCCTCGGAGCCTGCCCGTAGAACTGCAGTGGAGACTGCTGCTGGAACCTGACCTGACCTGCCTGCAGCGGCCGTGCCACCTGCCGCTGGTCCCCAGCTCAGCCTGCTCACCAGCCGACTTCCAGCCTCTCTGGGTCGATGTGACCTGCCTGCTCCGGGCTTGCGGAGGCCATTTGTGGGCAACAGGATCCCTGCCTGCCTGGGCCAGCGAGCTGCTCCCTCTTGCTGTGCGCTAGGAGCTGGGATGGCACATGGCTGCACAAGCAGCTCCACGCCAGGGGGACTGGGGAGCAGCCAGCAAGCCCATGAACGACCTGCACAACTAAAGGAGAGAAGGAACTGCCATGCACTGAATATTGCGGTTGCTGCAACTCTAAACATTTCTTTTTCCGTTTGATGAAACTTAATAACATTTGGCAGGATCACGTGAAGTTCCTCAGGGGTTGGAACAGCCACGGTCCACTTGTGAAGTCCACATGGAGCACTGCTGTTGTGCAACCTTTTCCCCAGTGAGCCGGCAACCCGATGATTGCTCTGTTACCTGAACCCACATGCTCATCCTGACACACCTGAGATGAGCCAGGCTCCATTTAAAGTCTTGGTTTTCACCTCTCTAGCCCCTGTGAGGTAGTCTGAGCAGCTGCCATCTTCTACACAAACTTGCACTGAAATTGCTTCCATTTTCATCTATTTCATTAAATGTCCTTACCACCCAATAGCTGATGCTCTCTGGGCAGGTTACAAAGATTAAAACCCTTGAAATTGCAATATTGTCCCATAATATTCAGCTATTTAGAACATTATTGCTTTTGCTCCCCTGACTTTCACCAGGGAAAGTGTTGAAATGGATGGGCTGGATCCAGGCTCAGGCAGGCATGGAGCATAACCTTTAAAGTCAGGGGGACTTGAGTTAGACTTGGCTGACCGAAGTCCCATTGATTGTGACAGGTCTGCTCTAGGTATGACTAAGCCTGCCTCGAACCAGATGTCTTTTGATGGCAGGTGCAAATGGTTCTATTTGCCCAGGCTTGTCAAGATGGGGGATTGTAATTTGTCTTACTCTTGGGTCTGTGCTGCCCCTGAGCCGTTTTAAACTTGTTTGTCACTCAAAGATACGTTTGTCCGTCAGGGTTTCACCTGAGGAGAAGTAAGAGGGCTGAGCAACAAACTCATACGATAAAGCAGTCCAGGTCTGGGGTGAAGGGAACGCTCTCGGTGTGGCCTTTGGCATGGGCCCTTTTAAGGCTTCTCAGGCCAGAAGTCCTGATCCAGAATCACTTTTGCCTGCACCTCCTCCTCCCCCTCCTCCTCCTCCCCCCCCCCCCCAGAAAGAAGGGAAGTAACAACACTCGTGACCTTGTGGTCCACAGCACGATCCACTATCACATGCAATCTCCACAAGAGCCTCAAACCTTGGCCCACTCTTAACCTCCCCTACATATTTCTCATGCTAGATATTGGTTAGTGTTCCTGCCACAGACAGGGCACCCCTTTCTGGCTTTGTTCTTGCCCTTCCAACTTGGTTCTCCTCAGAGGATTTCTCAACAGATGGAGTCTTTCAGAGGCTCCCCCCAGCAGCACAAACGTGGTGGAGTGGTGGGGAGGGTGTGGGGTCCTCCCGCAACACCTGCTCTGTTTATGGGGCTCTTCTGGCAACTGGGGAGCCAGTTTTGAGCTATTTGGGCACCTTGTTTGGTTCCTGGTGCCAGTTCCCAGGTCTCGTGGACTGTGTGCCCTCTGGACCGGGGATGCTCCTGCTTGCATTGCAGGAGGGCAGTTCTGAATGGAGTCGGCGCTTCTGCCTTCCCCCACCCCCACACAACCTGCAAGTTCCAGCAGTCCCATGTGGAGTGAGAGTCTTTTTAGGAACATAAGAAGATTCATGCTGGGACGAAGCACAGCCCAGTGAGTGGAGCCTGTCTGGACTGAGGGGGGCAGGCCTTCAGATCACAATAGCTCCCTTAGGGCCTTCCAGTTCTTGTTGGCTGAAGCGGGGCTGAGGCTGGGGCTGCTGCTCGAATAGCAGGGCTGACAGCCATCCCTACTCCAGGCTAACCTGCACTAATTTTGTCAAACATTTCGGTGGCAGGATTCCCCTCTGGGAATCATGCAGCAGGGAGTTCCACAGCTGATGCACACATTTTCTCTCCTGCCAGTCCCTTCGGTTGCTGTGAGCTTCCAGGGTCACTGAGTAAAACTACTGATCGAAGGATGGTCAAAGGTTGTGCAGAATACAACAGGTCCGGCAAGTTCTGGAGAACGCCTTTGCCGGCTCAGGGTGAGATCCTGAAGGGATGCACCTGCCCGGGCTCACCGGAGTGGACAGGAGATTCGAGGTTGCTGGCTGCTCCCAGCTCAATGCCCCGCAGCAGCGGCTTCTCCCTGCCCCCCCCCCCCCCGCGCCCCGCGCCCCGCGCCTACCTGGATCGGCCAGACACAAGCTGGCCCCGGTGAAATAAGCCAGGAGTGCCGCCTGCACGAGGAGCAGCAGCCGATCCATTGTCCGGAGCGGGTCCATTCTGCATCCACATGGGAGGGCGATTTCAGCGCCAGCGGCCCCGGTCCAGCGCGCCCCTGCCCCGCGGCGCCGGCCCGCGATCAGAGCCGGGCGGGAGCCAGCGAGCCCCGACCTCCTGCCCTCCGCCAGCAGCCCGGAGCCCGCGCCGACATTTCAGCACCGCGAAGAGCTCCCGGGCGCCGGCGCCGCCTCCGCCGCGGCGGGCTCCGCAGGCCGGGCTGGTCCGCTGCCGCTCGGCGGGCCCGGGCAAAGTTTCTCGGCGGCGGCGAGGCGGCTGCTGCTGCTGCTGCTGCTGCTGGCGGTGGCGGCGGCGGCGGCGGCTCGTCGGTCTCCGCAAGATGCAAACGTGCCGCCGCCCCTGGGCCGCCGCCGCCTCCAGCACCATCAGCCGGGCAGCTCCATTCATAGGCGGGCGGGCGGGCGGGCGGGCGAGGAAGGACGCGGAAGCCCCGACTCCCGCCGCCGCCGCCCTTGCCAAGCGCCGGCCGCGCCTGCCTGCTTTCCGCGGCCCGGGTCACACGGCCCTCCCCCGCGCGGAGCTGTGCGCGCCGGGATCCTGCGGCGGCGGCGGCGGCGGCGGCGTGGGGGGGTCTCGGCCCCTCCTCCCCGCTCTCATTCACCTCGGCGGGGCGCGCGCGCTCCTTCAAGGAGAAACGGGGCCGGCCGGGGAGCCCCTTCCGGGCGCCTCCGCGCGCCCCGGCGAGGCGGCGGCGGGCCTGGATGGAGCCCTGCCGCTCCGGGGGGCCGCTCCGCGGCGAGCCCGGGCGGACGGGCAGCGGGCAGCGGGCAGCGGGCTGCAGGCAGAGGGCAGCGCAGCTGGCGGCCAGGCCTCGGAACATGGCCGTGGCGCGGGCTCGGTGGAGGGGAGCGGCATCCAGGGGCTGAACCGAGCGCGGCGCACGGGGCCGGGCTGGGTGAAGCCGGGGAGACGGCGCGCGGGGCCGAGACGCAGCCCGCCCGGGTCGCCCGCCCTCGCCCCTCCAGCCTCGCCGCAAGGAGGAAGCGGGCAGAGGAGGAGGACCGGGCAGGCGGGCGAGGAGGTGGGGCCAGGCATGCAGCGGAACCGGCCGGGAACGTGAGGAGGGTCCCGGTCCAGCCGCCCTCGCCGTTCAAGCACGGAGGGAGAGGCCGCGGAAGTCCCCGCCGGAGAACCGGAGCTCGCGGCCCCTTCCAGGGCAGATGAATCGGGGCCAGTCAAGGTCGTCTCCACTGGGCCGGGCTGGGGGCTCCGAAAAGTGCCCGGAGCCAAGTCCTCCGTCCACTTTCCCAGCGGGGGGGGAGGGGGGCAAAGGCTTCCCCGTCCCACTCCTATAGTGACCGTCGGGGAGGTCCTTCTGGCAACGGGGTCAGGGCAGGAAGGGAAGCTGCTGCATCACTATGGAAAGAAAGGGGGCGAGCATGGCAGGGCAGCGTCCTGCAGAGCTGCCTTCCCAGACCCCCACATCCTCCAGGCCCGCGACCGGCAGAGCAGCGCAGAGGAGCCGGCGCGCGAGGGAGACGCGCAGACCACGCCACATACTCTGTGGCCCCATCGGAGGCGCCCTCCCCAGCCATTCGCACAGGTCTCCTCAGTGGCAGGGCGGCGTTGGACTCACGGGCAGGATAGCGGGTGGACACGGCCAGGCATCCAGCTACCGCTTGCTCTCTGCTGGAGGCAGAAGTTGCTCGGACCGAGACATCGCACAGCAGCCCGATGGTCCCCGCAGCTCACAGAGCTCAGTACTACGAGGGTCCCCTGGCGACTGCCAGGGGCATACAGGGCCCCACTGGCACCCTCAGGCGACCACGCACAAGAGGATGAGGCGGGAGCCCACGCTCCCCGGTCTCGGGCCGCTGGCTCCCTTGGGTGCACCTGTGGGCAGCCCAGCAGACTGGCCCCAATTCATAAAGCCCAAGGCTTGCCTTATTTGTTCATTTATTTATCTGCTATAGTCTGTATTTATACTCGTTTGTTATAAAAGGAGAAAAGGCTCCCATAGCAGCTTCCAAAGGTTAATGATGAGCGGGTCTGTTCTCTTAAGTTTATAATTGAAAAGATGCAACGCAAAAGGAGACGGGATTGGGAGGCAAGGCAGTGGGGGGAGCGCAGCAAAACTCGGGCTGGAACCAGGCCTTAGTTTCAAAGACTGTGCAGGCTTCTCTTCGAGCAGGGAAGGGCGAGACAAGTGCCCAGCAGCTGTCCCTTCCCAGGCAAGTGGATGGGCAGCTTCCTCTTGGCACGAAGCCCTTGCTGGATTCTCTGGCCAGAAGCCAGGCCAGTCTGTGGCCCGGGGAGGCCACAGGTCCCGCGTGGCAGGACAGGGCTGGGCAAGGTCCCTGCTGCTGCTTCCTCTCCCAGAATGTGCAGGCCAAGCAGGCTAGTCTTCCCTTTGCTGTGGGCAAGCGAAAGGTGAGAAGAGCGGCCCAGTGGCCCAGTCCTACATGGAATTTAGCACAGTTTGTCATCCCCACATTTCTGCCGGGGGATTGTTCTAGAGCACGGCTCCTCCCACTACAGCCCATGGGATGGATCCGGCCCGCCATGGCCATCATCCGGCCCGTGCCGCCACTTGCCGCCCGCGTGCGTGCTTGCTGCGCAGACGGGGAGGGGTGGCCTGCTCGCTCGGAGATGGTTTTGGACTCGCTGGACCTCACCGGCCCGCACCCCCAGGCACCCCCACCTCACCGGCCCGCTATGGTCACTGCAGCCTTCCAACTGCCCCCCTGTTGAAAAAGTTCGAGGACCGCTGTGCTAGAGGTTTACCTTCCACATGCTTCAACCATTTCCACAGCGCTTGCATTCCCAAAATAGTTCCAGAACTGGTGGCAGTGGTTTCTAATGTTAGTTGTCACAGCAGCAGTGGGGGGCAGGCACGAGCGCCCCGTTTCAGGCGGGGAGAGGTGCAGAGGGGCCGGCGGGGAGCCCTTCCCCATCTCCGAGCACGGAGGGAGGAAATCCAGGCCGCCGGTGCCGGGGCACCACAGCTCCCTCCCTTCCGCAGGTCTGTCTGCCTGGCTCCACGCCAGGAGACTTCCAGCTCGAGCTGCTGCACGTCTCGCCACTGAGTGTGCGGTTTGCTCTGCTTGGCCTGTTCTGGCTGCTCTTGCTGGTTCCAGTTGTGGCCGTTGTCATTCTCTTTCCACCCTTTCACTTTGCAGGGACCGCCCGAATCAGCATCTTTAAAAGACGGGAAGCAAACATTTCCAACAAACCAGCAGAGGAGTGGGCAGACGCTGCAAGGAAGGCTACTCAGCGAGTCTTTGCAGAGGGAAGGCCTGGAGCAGGGCCGTCTGCACGCGTGCACCTGGTGGGCACGTGCCCGTGGGCCCAGCCTAATCTGTGTACGTTAACCCTTGGAAAATCGGAAAACTTCCAAAATTAACAGTGGTTGTAGTTGTCATGGGGGCCCCGGTGCACTGCTTTGCCCGGGGCCCATCATGCAGTTCAGACGGCCGTGGCCTGGAGCCCAGCCTGACAAGCCCATCCTTCACCCCTTGAATCGCATTATCGAATTCTCACGAGCTATTTTGTGGTCCAGCTGACTGTGAGAATGTGTCGTGCCCCAGCTGCTGATCACAGCTCTTCCGAGATACATCAGCAGTCTCTCGGGAAGGATTGGTGCAGCTGGTGCAAGAAGCAATGTTCTAAATGCAGAGTTATTTGAGTATTAGATGGGGCACTGGAATTAATGTGCATTTAGGTTAATTAAACTTGCAGTGGCCTGATTTATGGGGACTAGTTGATAGGAAGAGAAGCAATTTTCCAGTCTCACACATGAGCTGTCAAGCAATCTGTCACAGAGGGGGAAAGGCCGGTCCTTGGCACCAGCAACATGCACCGCAGAAACCTTGGAAGCGGAGGCAGAAATGGGAATGGAGGCTTTGCCCCTGTGAATCCCACGTGCTATTTATTTGCAGACATTTGCATCCTGTTCCTCAGCCAAAGGGCTCCCAGAGTGGCTTATATGATAGCAGTAAACAAGGCATTTCCTGTCCATGCTGTGTCTAAAAAAAAGACGCATGCACACGCAGGAAAGGGGATGAGAAGGCAAGAGGAAAATTTGGGGGGCTCTTGCACAGGGCTAGTGGCATGGCTCTGATCCACATTCTGTTCTGCAGCACCTGCTGGAAAGGCAGGAATTACAAGAGGTTAGTACCCGTTGCAGGCAGGGGTGCAAGAAGCAGAACCGCTGCCTCCCAAGAAGCAGAGATTGGCTCTGCACCATGATGCTGTAGACCACTAAGGGGGGGGGGAAGACCCACGGGGGCTGGTGGGTGGATCTGGAGGAGGAACCAGTGGCGGTCCAGCTCGGTCCCCATCCTGCCCTGGTTCCAGGGTGCTGCTGGGAAAGGCAGATTCATGCCGGGCTTGGGCAGCCCTGGGACCTCGCAGGGCAGGCGTGTGGTCATCTCCTCATCTTCGCTGAGTTGCTGGTGACGGCAGCAAGGCAGGCCAGAGGCTGGGCCCAGCCTCACAGGAGCCGCTCTTGACCTGTCGAAGGAGCACAAACGCTTGGGCAGGGTGAGCGGGGCTCGTGCACTGCATCTACGTGATGTCTGACAGCAACCCTCCGGGGCACCTTTCCCCAGCGTGGTGCCTTGCAGGTGTTTTGGGCTTCCACCTGCCCCAGGCAGCATGGCCCATGTTCAGAATTGCTGGAAGCGGCAGTCAAAAATCGTCTGGAGGCTCCAGATTGGGAAAGGTTCCTCCAGTGTGGTGATGGAACTTACAACTACGAGGCCATCCTTTCTCTGGCGTCCAGAAAGAGGCCTTTCTATGCGAGGCATCTCCCATGCACTGATTCTTTCCTACGCACTTTCCTACTGTTTCGGGGTTATTTAGAGGGCATCATTACCCCCCAGTTTTACTTCTGTGTCTAACCAGCACTTTTGACCAGAATTTTTAGAGAAGAGAAACGGCAGCATTTAGTTGTGGACATCAAAGGAAGTGTGATTTCCTTTTGTGTATTTGCACTATTCTTTTACGTCACATTGCCACCTAG